GAACACATCAGGTCTGTGACTACGGTACGAAGCCAACTTCCCTAAAGTGATCCTAAGTGCAACTTATGTTCACATTAGGGGGCAGGGAGAAGGTACATGGGGAATGAATGATAATTAAGGAGCAAGGAATGTTAACACTTGTTGAAATTTGAAGCAAATTTACAAGTTTGGTATAGCCGAGATAACACTGAAAGGCGTTTCCGAAATATGATCATCTGGGATGACCAACTAGCTTGTTAAGAGCTGAGAAGGTTGGCAAGTACAAAAATGAATACCTTAAAGAACTAGGGACTGAAAGCAATAACGTCGGACTGATCTGCTTCGACGGACGACGATGGTTCAGCCTCGGCAGTCAGTTGGAGGAGCTTCTCTACCGCTACCTCGGCATCAATTTTAAGAAGGAAGCAAACTACTCGGCATCAGCGGTAGGTTGTGTCTCACCCCCAGAAGACAGTTGGAAAGAACTTCTCAGCAGCCTTCTCAGCCACGAGCTCCGCATCAAACTCCTGAAGAGTTTGATCAAAGCTCTTCTTGGCGATTGGTACCTCGGAGTTTTGAAAGCAAGGATTGAAAGAAAAATTTGGGAAAAGACACAGAAAACAGAAACAAGAAAAATCAAGAGTGGTGATGAAGCTATCAGGAAATCAAGACAAAAAGATTGCACAGGTGTATCAAGCCAAGAACAGTGGCAGAAATCAACAGATGTGTAAACAATGTGTATTAAAGAAGATGATTTGGAAACAACGAGTAAAACAACAATGGTGATTAAACAATGAAGCAGAGCTTCTTGGAAAGCAACAAGAAATAAAACCAGGAAGAACAGTGGCTTACCAGAAAGAGGGAAGCTGGAATGAGAATTGCCGAAGTCTGACGACGGATACGAAAATAACAGAATCACATAAGCTTCACCGGAGAAGAGGAACGAAGACAGTTGGAGAGCTTGAAAGCTTGGAACAATGGCGGATTTGAAAAAAAGAGCTAGAAAGAGAAAATTCAGAGTCAAGAAGACAACAAAGTTCATGAATAAAGCCAAATGCACAGGCACTAGGTAAGTATGTGAAGAACAAGAAAGTAATGAACCAGGCATGATGCTAGCAACAGAAAGTGGATATGACAAAGAACAATTCCAGGCATTTTAGCAATAAGAAATCAAAAACTTGAAGACAGATGAAAATAGAAGGCAACAGATGGCAAATAAACAGATTCAGAAGATTTATGAAAGATTGAGCTTAATAGCAAGTAAAGAGTTTATGAACCTACCAAGTGAAATGAATGCCGATATGAAGATCGCTGGAGTCAAATAGATGACTGGAAGTTAGGAACCCATCAAGAATGTGAGTGGAGCAGTTGTAAAGCTCTTGGAGTTTACAAAGTAATGGAACAAGAACCTCGGCTAGGAGGTACGATCTCGAGCGGCTTGGAAAGCATAAAGCTTGATACTTGAACAGAAGTGGACAGTAAAGTCCAGAGAACTTTGAGGTCGGCGAGTTTTATCTCGGACAAAGGGGCACAGATGAACGAACAGTGTAGGTTCCATCACCTCAGAATGCCGAGGTAATAGAACCTAGGGGGCAGTTGTGGGGATATATTTTCTGAGTACCAACACGTGGCAAGGTGACGCCGACGTGTCAGCCGACGTGCCACGTGTCTTGGTCGTTGTGCCGAGGTCATCTCGGCTAGGCCGAGGTTACCTCCGAAGATATCGGAATTCGAGATAAGCAGATAAGGGATGAGAGTTCTAGAATGAAGAGGGAACTCAACCTGGATATGGACAAGAGTCCTAGATTGGGAGAAGACTCTAGTTTGGGTAAAGATAAGACTCTTAGAGAGTTTTGTCCTAATTCCACTGGGAGTCCCAGATAAGCAGTAATCCTGAGTCCATAGAAGTCAGGCTTCTATTGGGACTAGGATTGAGTTGGCTATAAATAAGAGGCACCTCCATGGGTCTAAGGTATGCATTTTTGATACTCAAGCTTGTGAGTTTAGTACTTGATTTATCTTTGAGAGATATACTGACTTGATCGTCGAAGTGCCCCCGGGTGGTCGAAACCACCGCGGGATGCTTATATTTCTGTTGCAGGTCAGTCAGGTGCCATCTATTCTGCCAGTGCTCTCCAGCTGGTTACTAAGCGGGCAGTGTGGTCGGAAAATCACCCACACACAAACTATAAGCTACTCTTGTAATGTAAACAAATATATATTTTGAAACTGATTGAGTTTTCAACCCAAATTTAAACATGCTACTAGTAAACTCTATAAAACTTACATGCATTATGATTCATGTTCCCCCACCCTCAGGAACGAATGAAGGGATTTCTTTTGGTACCAAGACACGGTGTGCTGTGATTTAACTAGAGATGGATACCTAGTATATGACTGATTAAACAGTGCTCTAAAAGAATCAATGGTAGTACTTTCTTTCTCTTGATATCATAAACCTCTTTCAACAAACTATATTGGAAATGTAGAATCATAAGTGACTCATTTTTCAGACACTTTTGTTGAAATAACAAAGCTAGTATAGTTTAGCTAGTCACCGACCATGGAAATTCATCATCTCCAAGACAGTGAATTTAGGGAAAAAGAAAAGGCTCCCAACATGGGAAATATTGAATGATATTGCACAGATAATATGTTTCCTCAATTTACATGTCCTATTTGAACTAGCCTAAATGGAGAGAATTGATCTACATAGTACATAAATCTAGTATGAGATATAGATTATATAACAATTGAAATCTAGTATGAGATAGTTCCAATACATCTACACTCAAATACAGAAATCTGGGTGAACTATTCCTTGGATAAATGATCTGTTACTGGATTCTTTCTAGGGATTGCAATCACGAATTGATTGAAGCGGAGAATTCAGCCAAAAAGTCAAGGTTAGCTAGGATCAAATCAATCGATCAACAAGAGGGAGGAGGAACGTTTGAGATTATCCTAAATGAAAATATGTGGAATGTTTTTCTTCAAAATAATAGTGCCCAGTAGGGTTTGTAGTGTATTACTACTGCCAAAACATAAGAATGCCACATGCAAAAGAAAGAAATATATGCCCCGGCTTTTTTCTCTTTCACTTTTTTTTTTTCTTCTCAAGATTTCCCCTTGCATACTCGTCCCGTTTGGTGTAGTTTATTATAAGTTAATAGTTGATAATTAAAAAACAGAAGTTAAAAGTACTCTTTCTCAATTTCTAGATAATATTATTTTTTTCAATTCATTTAAGTTATTTATGTCTAATAAGTGGTACGTAAAAACTATACCAAACAATCTAATATAAACTCTCAAATTAAAATAAATTATAATCATCACTTGAATTTTTATGACTCTCTTTTTTCTTTTCTTTTTTTCACATTCAGTCCCCCAAAATTACCTAGTTGTATGGCCGCAACAAATACATAGATGTATATCTAATTAATTAGAACTTCAACCCAATATTGTATAAATATAATCAGCTTTTCCAATAGGATAATCTTAAACGAAATTATGAATATACATCTATTTTGAATTATGAATGTACATCTATTAATAGGATAATCTTAAATTTTTTTGTTTTCATGGATACATGCATATATTAAAGTTGGATATATTTGCTCCTCAATTTAATGCAAGTACGCAAGATCATTGAAATGTTACTTTCATGAATATATTTGCACGGAAGAAAACAGTAAACCCACATCTAAAACAACGAAAGCACACAATTCTTTCATTTATTTTGGGGTCGAGCGAAAGGGAAAGAGGGTGGTGGGTGGTACGTAGTTTTCTCAATTGTCTCACATTTCTACACTTGAGAACCTTAAAACTTAATCCCATCATTAGAAGATTAATAACTAACTAAACATGAAGCTAATCACGAGTTGGTTTCCTTAATTAGACACCATGTTCCTAAGGCTAATTCTTGCAACAATGGATTATTATTATGAGATAAAAAGCTAATAATACAAAAACAGAAAAAGGACTACCTAGAAATTCATGTCACACTCACACCTAAACATGATGTTATCTGAAATGATAAATATTACTACGAGAACCCCATTTTAGTTCTGCTGTTGCTGTCATGTTTCTCTTACCAACCATGTTCATTGTACCTGTAATTAATTACTGGATTGAAGAACATATGGCTAGGTTATTTATTTTATTTTATTTATGTTTTCCTTTTGTGGGTTCTCTATTTCTACTTTTGGTTTGTCAATCTTTCATTATTGAGAGGAACTCTTAAAATGAAAATATCAATTCCAGAAGCAATCTATATGGTATTTACTTATCAAATATTTCTACAAGCAATCTCTATGGACATACCTCGGATTCGCTATCCAATCTCAGCTTGTTAACCAGATACTTCATTAACAATCGAACTGTCATCCTTCCATCCCTAAAGAAACAAAATCATCATTAATATTATAAATGCAAAAAACCCTTTCGTGTAATGGGTCAAAAACAGAAAGGATAAATTCAGACCAAAATTAAGAATAAAATGAATTACTTAATTCTCAGGTAGCTCTTGGGTATCTGAGGCAAAATGGGTTCTTTTGCTCTGCATTGATAAACCGAGTGCAATTCATAACATAAATTAGATTGTTTTATTCAACATAAAAAAATATATATAAAAAAAAAGAGAAAAAAATAGAAGATGATGACTAGAGAAAGGAAAAGATGAAAGTTCTTTTTTTTTTAAATAAAAAAGAAAAGGAAAAAAAGAATAGACGATTGGAATCATGTTTATGATGTTTTTTTTATTTCTCTCCATGTTTTTTTGGGACTTACTGATTTTGTGATGCTTGAAGCATAAACCATATGCCGGAATGGGGTCTCCGAGGAGGATCAATGATTCTGAAACCTAAACTTGGCCCAGCTACATCTACGCCAGAATGGAGTTGAAATGGTCTGGCGAAATAGGATTCTGGTGGCATTAAAGAAGACGTGGATGAAAACGGAGAAGAAGAAGAAGCTACCATCATATTTTGCGGGATAGGCCTAAATCCCCAGTTAATCTTTTGATGATGAGTAAAAGCCGAACTTGTTCCTGGGTGTTGCAAGAACAAAGAAGTACCATTATTAGTGGCACTTGGAACTCGAAACTCCGGTGGTGATGATCTAACTTGTTGCGAACTACCACTGGGTAGTAGATCAAGCTCGATCAATCCGACTCTGCTTGTTGTTGGGTCAACTTGATCGAGCTTGTTCTCATGACTACCACCACCACCAATACCCAATTGTAACCACCCTTCATCCCTATCATCTTGAATGTTCTTGGAACTTGAGCCCGACTCATCTTCAGCCATCGGACCAACCATCAGATCAGATCCTGAGCAAGCTTCACTACAACACTCATACCCTTGTAATCGGCTCATAACACCGAAACTCTCCGAGTAACTACCACTATCACCGCCACCATAACCGCTGAGACGATACTGTTTGGAGAGGTTTTGAGCAGGAAACATGGTCATATTGAAAAACCCAGAAATCCAACAAGCCTTAGCTTATGATTGATTTCAACACCAGCCATGGATTGAGAGAGTTGTTGTTGTTGAATCTTTAGATTGGAGAGAAAGATCTGTTTGTATTTGTGCTTGTGTTTCTTTCATCAACAGCAACAGCATGTTTTGAAGTTATGGAATCGAGCAAAGAAGAGATACCCATTGACCAGATAAGATTGGTTTGGTGTGTTTATTGTAGACTTGTCAGAGGACAACAACAAGAATAAACCTTGCAAATCTTACTTTCCATTAATTCTCTTTGTTTGGAAGCTTGTGGTGTGGTGTGAAATAGTTGCAGAGCGGAAGATAGATATATGGTGGTCAATCGTTTATATTAAATCCTTATGCTTCCTATATATATACACATTTAAAAAATAAATATATATAAATACATAATTAAGGTCGAACAGTAATATGTTTTTTTACTTTTTTTTTTTTTTTTTTTTCTTTTTTAAGACTAAATATATGGTTATCTCTTTGTTTGCGAAGCTTTGGTGTGGTTGTGAAATAGTTGCAGAGCGGAAGATAGATATATGGTGTCAATCGTTTATATTAAATCCTTTGCCTATTCCAATATATACACATTAAAAAATAAATATAATTTATAAATACATAATTAAGTCGAACATTAATATTTTTTTACTTTTTTTTTTTTTTTTTTTTTTTGACTTTATTAAGACGAAATATATGGTCCACTTGTTTTAAAATCCGAAAAGATGGGCCAATGGAAAAGCCTTTGGTTACTCTGATTGGCCGCTCTTCAAGAGAGAGATTGAACCTTTTACACAATCCGCCGGTTTCTATTTTCTTTCCAACCGCACCGACCCGCAACCGCTATAAATCATCGTTTTATATAAGATTCTAACAAATTCTTTTTACTAAGTTTGCTTGTTGTTCCTATACCTTAGAATATATATTACATTATTACTCGTGGGGAATTCAAGATGTCAGTAATCCAATAAAAGTTGGATTCCAATTCACTTTTCAAATCTTTTTTTTTTTTCTGGCCATGTTGCAAACTTGCAATCAGCTTACTTTTCAATCTAAATACTTTTCAACAGTTAAATTTTCAATATATTGTAAACCCTGGAATGATATTAATTTTATGTATTGTATTTTGATATTGTAGCTTCCACAGATGCTTGTAATGAACTGATGGTATAGTCGTTGATATTATCATGTTGTTGCTAACACTGCTGCTACAGAAGAAAGCTTCGCAAGATGCTTAACCATCACGATATCTATCATCTTTTTTTTACTCTTTGATTTAAGTTTTGTAATTTGAATTCATATTTTTTATAAAACCGTCAATCCGCCCACACGTCAAGGCAAATCCGCTATTATTTGCTAACCCGGAACCGTCAAGTTTTTTGTTTTTATAAGGAAAATGGCAAATTCTAGTGACACTTTTATCAATCCGCCACCCCCGCCATACGATTTCTATTTTTCTCTCAACCGCACCGACCCGCACGCGCACACCCCTACTTCTTACCAACCATGTTCATTGTACCTGTAATTATTACTGGATTGAAGAACATATGGCTAGGTTATTTATTTTATTTTATTTATGTTTTCCTTTTGTGGGTTCTCTATTTCTACTTTTGGTTTGTCAATCTTTCATTATTGAGAGGACCTCTTAAATGAAAAATATCAATTCCAGAAGCAATCTATATGGTATTTACTTATCAAATATTTCTACAAGCAATCTCTATGGACATACCTCGGATTCGCTATCCATCTCAGCTTGTTAACCAGATACTTCATTAACAATCGAACTGTCATCCTTCCATCCCTAAAGAACAAAATCATCATTAATATTATAAATGCAAAAAAACCCTTTCGTGTAATGGGTCAAAAACAGAAAGGATAAATTCAGACCAAAATTAAGAATAAAATGAATTACTTAATTCTCAGGTAGCTCTTGGGTATCTGAGGCAAAATGGGTTCTTTTGCTCTGCATTGATAAACCGAGTGCAATTCATAACATAAATTAGATTGTTTTATTCAACATAAAAAAATATATATAAAAAAAAAAAAAAAATAGAAGATGATGACTAGAGAAAGGAAAAGATGAAAGTTCTTTTTTTTTAATAAAAAAGAAAAGGAAAAAAAGAATAGACGATTGAATCATGTTTATGATGTTTTTTTTATTTCTCTCCATGTTTTTTTGGGACTTACTGATTTTGTGATGCTTGAAGCATAAACCATATGCCGGAATGGGGTCTCCGAGGAGGATCAATGATTCTGAAACCTAAACTTGGCCCAGCTACATCTACGCCGAATGGAGTTGAAATGGTCTGGCGAAATAGGATTCTGGTGGCATTAAAGAAGACGTGGATGAAAACGGAGAAGAAGAAGAAGCTACCATCATATTTTGCGGGATAGGCCTAAATCCCCAGTTAACTTTTGATGATGAGTAAAAGCCGAACTTGTTCCTGGTGTTGCAAGAACAAAGAAGTACCATTATTAGTGGCACTTGGAACTCGAAACTCCGGTGGTGATGATCTAACTTGTTGCGAACTACCACTGGGTAGTAGATCAAGCTCGATCAATCCGACTCTGCTTGTTGTTGGGTCAACTTGATCGAGCTTGTTCTCATGACTACCACCACCACCAATACCCAATTGTAACCACCCTTCATCCCTATCATCTTGAATGTTCTTGGAACTTGAGCCCGACTCATCTTCAGCCATCGGACCAACCATCAGATCAGATCCTGAGCAAGCTTCACACAACACTCATACCCTTGTAATCGGCTCATAACACCGAAACTCTCCGAGTAACTACCACTATCACCGCCACCATAACCGCTGAGACGATACTGTTTGGAGAGGTTTTGAGCAGGAAACATGGTCATATTGAAAAACCCAGAAATCCAACAAGCCTTAGCTTTAGATTGATTTCAACACCAGCCATGGATTGAGAGAGTTGTTGTTGTTGAATCTTTAGATTGGAGAGAAAGATCTGTTTGTATTTGTGCTTGTGTTTCTTTCATCAACAGCAACAGCATGTTTTGAAGTTATGGAATCGAGCAAAGAAGAGATACCCATTGACCAGATAAGATTGGTTTGGTGTGTTTATTGTAGACTTGTCAGAGGACAACAACAAGAATAAACCTTGCAAATCTTACTTTCCATTAATTCTCTTTGTTTGGAAGCTTGTGTGTGTGGTGTGAAATAGTTGCAGAGCGGAAGATAGATATATGGTGGTCAATCGTTTATATTAAATCCTTATGCTTCCTATATATATATACACATTTAAAAAATAAATATATATAAATACATAATTAAGGTCGAACAGTAATATGTTTTTTTACTTTTTTTTTTTTTTTTTTTTGACTTTATTAAGACGAAATATATGGTTCCACTGTTTTTAAATCGGAAAAAGATGGGCCAATGGAAAAGCCTTTGGTTGAGCTCTTGATTGGCCGCTCTTCCAGCTGCTGTTCCAAAACCTTAATA